CATGCCATGCCCACTGAGTTCATGGATTGTAATCACCAGGGAGTTCTGTGTATGCCATGTCTGTGAATCATGGCTGCCTCAGTGGGTCAGACTAAATACCTGTCTCGACATACTTCCTATTCCAGCAGCAGCTCATCACATCCATTTGAAGGAGTGAGAACCAGGGCAAGGACACTGGTGTCACTCCTGGCAGCAGGGAGAGARCTGAGCCAGAAGTGGCTGCTCCTGSGTGCTGATCATGGCTGTATTATCTGACCAAGTTCAGACTGAGTTCCTTTTGGTCTCTGAAGCCCCCCTTGACCACCCATGTTTTTACTGGGTGTTTCAGAGCAGTTTCACACACTGATCTGCTTTCTCCAAGGCAGTTATCAGGTTGCAGTGAAAATGGGATTTTTTTGCACAGAGCCCACACCAAATTCTCAGCAAAGAGCTGCAGTTYCAGTGCAGCTTCTCTCAAGTCTTCCAGCAGTCAGTGTTTTGCTTTAGGCTGTTTACGAAGGTGATGTTTTCTTGCACCAGTTCTCTGTTACTCTGGTTTGTCCTTGAGCCAAGTTGTTTTGACCTTCGTAAAGACACAGGGATTTTATTTGTTGATGTACAYGGGGCCTTCAGATAATGAAGGGAGCAGATTGTGTGCCTGGTGGTGTCAGAAAGGAGCTGCTGTTCAGCCACTCTGCAAGCCTAAAACCTACTTTTCCTGTCAAAACCCTGCTCTGTTTTCTAACAGCAACGTGTTGAATGTTCTTTGTAGGTCATGATGAATGARACAGCACAGCAGAACATGGAAAACCACCCAGTGATCCGGACTCTGTATGATCACGTGGATGAAGTGACATGTTTAGCTTTCCATCCTACAGAACAGATCCTGGCATCGGGGTCMAGGGACTACACACTGAAACTGTTTGATTATTCAAAACCTTCTGCCAAAAGAGCCTTCAAATACATCCAGGTGAGGTGCTTTCCAGAGCAGCCAAAGCTCAGATGTTCGAGTGTTGAGGTGTTGTGAGCCGAGTTGTGCCTCAGGTGGTGCAGAGTTAGGGAGAGAGGACACGAGTACAACATTTGCAGATGTTACAGAGGTGGTGTCTTATTTTGTCCTTCATGAACACCTGTATTTAGTGTCAACAGCTTTTTGTTTATTAGACCAACTCTAATAGGAATAACCTAGAAGTCAATTGTCTCATCTTTGTTTTGGAGGAATGTTTGTGATGAGGTGGTGGTGGGCTGGTGAGGTGTGATACCCCAAAATGAGGAGGCACTGCAAGGCTGCTCTGGACAAAAGCTACARTAAAGCTACAGGCAGCCTGTCATTTCAGTCCGGGCTCTGCTGATAATTCAGGTTGTTTTTAGCACTTTAACACCACCAGCATTGACCCTTCCATCTCAGATTTTCCCTCCTCACCCCATTGCCTGTTTTTAACCCCACAGGAAGCTGAGATGTTACGCTCCATTTCTTTCCACCCTTCTGGAGATTTCATCCTGGTGGGCACCCAGCACCCAACCCTACGCCTGTACGACATCAACACCTTCCAGTGCTTCGTGTCRTGCAACCCCCAGGACCAGCACACAGATGCCATCTGCTCTGTCAACTACAATGCCAGTGCCAACATGTATGTGACAGGCAGCAAGGATGGCTGCATCAAACTCTGGGATGGGGTCTCCAACCGCTGCATCACCACCTTTGAGAAGGCACACGACGGAGCTGAAGTCTGTTCTGCTATTTTTTCCAAAAATTCCAAATATATCTTGTCCAGTGGGAAAGACTCTGTAGCTAAACTGTGGGAGATATCCACTGGTCGGACGCTGGTTAAATACACAGGTATGTGGTGGGTGACTTTCTGAGCACCTTCTCTTGCAGGTGCTGAGCCATGGCAGGGCTGGGAATATTGTCAGAACAACAATAATTCTTAAAGGGAATGCTGAAACTCTTGTGCTGAGGCTAAGTTGCCCCAGATTTTTGAAAGYATTTAATGTAGGCTAATTCCAGAAGAGAAGCTGTGATTCTGTGCATCAGTGTGTGTTTAGCCTGAGTAGATTTTGGAGACTTTCTGACATTACTCCATTGTTGTGGAGGGAAGTCATCACTTCAGGCAATTAATTTAACCATTAACTCTTGGAGCTCTGCACTCATGGCAGTACTCTGAAATGTACCCACAGCTGGTTTATTCCCTTTTTTGTGTTATTTATTTCAAATTTGCAGTTATGTGCAGGGGAGTCATCCTTGGGCCATGCTGACAGTGCCATGCTTGGATCTCAGCAGGATTTAGGGAATGATGAAGGATGTGGAAGCTTTGCAGCTGTGTGAGAAGCTTTGGGGTCAAGCACTGATGTGCTTAAGCAGCAGGAGCACAGAAAAATTGTGTGTGTCAGCTTTTGGGGTTTGTAGGGCCCTGTTTGCACTGCAGCTCTCTTGCTCGCAGCCAGCAGGGAGCAGCACTTTGTCGGGAAACCCGTGCAGGATCCCAGGTAGGATCTGTGCAGTGCTGTCAGTACAGGAAACACATTTGATCTGAAGGTATGGCCAAGGTGGGTCATACAGTGTGTACCATGTGATAAATACACTGAGAAGYCCTCAAGGATCATGAGAATCTCTGGGTTCTGTTCTCATACACTGAGAAGTCCCCAAGGATCGTGAGAATCCCTGGGTTCTACTCTCAGTGCACTCCCCTTGGTCACAGCTGAAAGCCTCATGCAGAAATCCTCTTGAAGGTAAAGGATTTGGCTAGGCACAGCTGGAGTCGGTATTCCTTCTGTCCTCTAAGGAATTTTGGAACATATCCATGGACAGCAGGAGTTTTTTCCCTGGAAAGGGTGGTCAGGCCTTGGCAGGGGCTGCCCAGGGAGGTTTGGGGTGCCCATCCCTGGAGGTGTCCAAGGAGTGCCTGGAAGTGGCACTCAGAGCTCTGGACAAGGTGAGGATCACAGCTTGGACTCTGTGATATTTTCCCACCTTTATGGCTCTATAACTACAAAAGAATATTGATTACTRCATCACCTGTTGCTTGTGGAAGTGGTTGGACAGCAGAAAGAAKGTGGCTCCTTTGTAGAAAATTGATACTTACAGAAAATCTATTCTTAGGTCATTGAAAACTTCCTGAAATGTATTCTTTTGCTGCCTGTTTTTAGGTGCTGGTTTGAGTGGACGCCAGGTACACAGGACACAGGCTGTCTTCAACCACACAGAGGATTATGTGCTGCTTCCAGACGAAAGGACCATAAGCCTGTGCTGCTGGGATTCCAGAACTGCTGAGCGCAGGAACCTCCTGTCCCTGGGCCACAACAGCATCGTGCGCTGCATCGTCCACTCTCCCACCAACCCCGGCTTCATGACCTGCAGTGATGAYTACAGGGCCAGGTTCTGGTACAGGAGATCCACCACAGACTGAGCAGCTTCCCCTGAGCAGCAGGGATTTGGCAGCTCCTGCAGCACTGTGGGGTTGTACTGCCCACAGCTGCCTCCACGCTGGGCCCGGCTTTGCTTCTGTCACACGTGGCAGGAAAAGAACAAAATATCGAGACTCTTCACCCCACACTAATTTTTTTTATTAGTGTGCGTGGTTTAATTTTTGTAATTAAACAATTGTACTGAAGGGAGAGGGGGTGGAGAATAAAAGGATCCTGGCAGGAAGGGCTAAGCTTGTTCTGCCTTGTAGAATCACACAAAGCATAAAGGGACTGTGTCTTGCTCAAAGGGGCAGGAGGAGCCAGTTCTGCTCCGTGTGGTGTCTGTGCAATCCCACTGAACTCTGGWAGAGAACACATTGCACAAAGAGCAGCACAACTCAGTAGATACTTTAATGAAGCCTTAAGCTGCCTTCAGCCAAGTTCATTATTTGTAAAGCTCTGGTTTGTATCTTTTAGTCTGGGGTTTTGGTGARTTCTTTTTTGTGTTTTTTGTTCATTGGCCAAGTGGGCCTTCAGTTCTGAGTTGTGCCATAAGAATTCAAGCWGAATTTTATATTTCAGTGAATTCAAGAAATGGTCTCCTAGTTCTGGTGTTAGAACTCAGACTTCATCTCATCTTTTGAATTTATCTTAACARGTGGGACCTCAAAAAGAATTCCTAATAGTGTTAAGGAATATCCACATTGCAACTAAAACATGACAGTGCTGCTGCAGGTGAAAATAAGAATAATTTTGCCTTAGAGACCTTTAGTATCCTCTGAAAGAAAGCAACTTGTGCATCTGGATTTTTGTGTATGTACCTCAGAAATGTTGAGAAATCATCTGTCTGTTACACAGCACTTGAATTCCATTCTTCTTTAATTATTCACAAACCCAGTGGCCATCATTAAGGAGCTCTGCTTAAAATTTCTCTAAGTTTGAAAATTCACTACTTCTCCCAAGAGATCTGCCTGAGCAGAGGCTTAAATTTGTTCTTTGAGGCCTCCTTGTGCAGARCTCTTGGACATCACACTGGGAGGCTCCTGTGGTCAGAGCTCAGCACTTGCCTTGGTGAGGGTTTTTAAATGTGAGCTGGTTCTTGCTGCTGGAGGATCTTCCCATTCCACTGAGGAATTGTCAAGGGCTGAGGAGGGTACAGGTTTTGTCTGTATTTAAATAAAGATTGCCTTTTGAAAAGCTCTTTGATACATTAAGAAGGAATTGTGTTTGTTTTCTGTATAACTAAGAAATATGGGAGGCTGGGGCTTTGGGGACTTCTTAATGATGAATTTGTTGTGTTCCAGCTGAATCGGGTAAATTCCAGACTCACAGTCTAGAATGTGGGGTGGTTTTATTAAAAGAATGACATTTCCTTTTTAAAAACATTTCTGAGGCTTGACAGATGTCTTTGCTCCTCCTCTGCCTCCGAGTTTCTGAGCCCTCAGAAGCAGTGGTGGTCAGAGATAGTGGTGCTGYTGGCTTTCTTGGTGGAGAAACAAGGAGAAGCAGAGCTGGGGGAGGGAAAAGGGAAGTCCTGACACACTCACTGGGGGTGGTGTGGGCTGGGTGACAGCAGTGGCTTTTTGCTTTTTTTGGAGTGCCACCTTTTTTTAATTCTGCTAAAGCACCTGTCCATAATTAATGCACTTGTTTCTGGTGTTTCAAATCTATTTTAAAAACCTTCTTTTGGTGATTTATGTGTTGAAGCACCGCTGTGCTTGCAAACAGTGAGTGAAGTCCCACCTGACATTTCCTTCATTCTGTGGGCTTTAACTTGCAAAAGTTTCTGTGAATTCAAAACCATCCTGCCACTGGTCCCMTGCTGCCTTCCCACATCCTGGCCAYCTTSCTGAGRCCACAGAGGTGCTGGGTTTSTGTTTGAGAARCTGAACTCACCTTGTTGAGTGAGAAAATTTCACCACAGGGTGGAATAGAATGTTCAAGGCCAGGTGGGACAGGACTTGGAGCAACCTGGAATGGTGGAARGTGTCCCTGCCCATGGAATGAGAYGTCCTTAGGGTCCCTTCCAACCAACCCAAAGCATTCCTTGGCTCTGGAAACACCTCTCCCCTGTGGCAGTGAGGAGGTGCTTTGAGTGCCCATTGTTGAGGGGCTGYGAAAGCTGAGACCATAAAGCCCAGCTTGGAAAAGCTCCGTGCTGGGATGGCAGCGGTGCCTTATCAACCCCCCTGCAGCTCCTGGCACTGCCCTGCCCTGCCTTCWCTGCTGCAAAAGAGGAAATGCAGAACATGAACTGTGGTTAATTGCAACAAGCCAGTGGCACGGAGCGAGCAAAATTCCGCTTGCTCTCAGACCATTTTTGTCACTTCAGTCACCAGAAGGGTTTTTGGGTTTCTATTTTGCCCTCCTTTGATCTCTTGTTGATGCTGATAGCATCTTCCATGCGAATGCTGCCCCCGGGCTGTGCGTGACGTGGGGCAGAGCTGTCAGATGGACTTGGCCGGGGTTGTGGTGCCCACACACAGCACCAGGGCACGGCTGGAGCCTCATCCTGCTGGRATTCTCCCTGTTCCTCCAGCTGGGAAATGACCACCATGGATGCAAACCTGAGGAGCAGCACAACTGCAAAGGTCTGTGGGGTTTTATGGGCAGGGAAGGGTTTGATGTTGGAATTCGGTGGGATTGTGGTGATGTTGGAAGCAGCACTGGTGAGGAGACCCTTGAGGGCTGTGTCCAGTTCTGGTCTCTGATGGCCACAGAGCCCTGGAGGGGCTGGAGGTGTCCAGGGCAGGGAACGGAGCTGGGAAGGGTCTGGAGCTCCAGGAGCAGCTGAGGGAGCTGGAAAGGGGCTCAGCCTGGAGAAAACGGGGATCAGGGGGGATTTGGGGCTCTGCACAACYCC